CACCAAACACAAGAACAATGTGAAAATATTTTGATCTTTATTTATCTCCATAACCCAGCAAAGCCTTAAAGAAAACTAAAAAGCCATTTTCTGGCCCTCTGTACTCACATCTATATAAGGGGCATTGAAGTAAGTCTGGCTTAAGTTCTACAAAGGTGAGCAAGTTTATTCCATAATTTGCTAGTTAAGTGGCAGGCCCTGCAACTTGTGCATTATTTCCCATCCTGAATCAAGTGGCGATAGGTACCAGGAGCCCTGGTTCTCTCCTACCACCATCTGCCCCCTGTTAAGAGACTGTGCATCATTGAAAAAGTAAACTTCCCTGAACAGGGAAAACATTTGTTTAAAATTTAGCTGTAGGTCCCATTTAGTCATGTTGTCAAGATTTGTCCATAGTACTTCAAGATGCATCTTTTTCTTTCATTTTAAAGAAACACTGTCCCTTTTGCCTCACTGAGAAATATAAGCAGACCCCCTCCCCCCGCAAAACACTTATACCTTTCACCTTCCCTTCACCATCCTTCTTCCTTTTTCTGTATAAGCTCCGTTCTTTCCCTTATTCTTTACCTTGTCTAGGCATTTAATAGAATCTAGAACTGAGTTCTATAAACTGATTGAAAAATCAACAAAGACAAATCACAGAGACCAGTGATAAAAAGATCATTTCTCTCACCCTGCAATCCAGCACTATCCAAGTCGCTGCTTCCACAATAAGGCAAATGAAAGGCAAAATGAATGCAGCATATAGACACACAAGGGCAGGTACCAGTGTGATCACATGCCACCCCCCCATTGTTGCTGTTGCATCTCTTTATTAGTTGCTTTTGGAGAAATAAGATGATAGAAAGATGAGTGCTTTTATTAAAGCCATTTCACCAGAAAATTTTGCCAACTACTGTGGCTCCCCAGGTAGGAGCTGGAGGGGAAGGAGAATATTGCTTTTGTTGTTGCATCTGAAATATAAAGGAGGTAACTTCGTGGGAACCGAGAATGTTTAGAAGTGCCAAGCATAATATTATTTATGGCCATTCCCTCCAGCTGACCATGCATAACTCTCCCACAGGATTGTTTCTTCCCCATCTTACACCATACATTTTAAAAGGAAACATAGGAACTCTTTCAGGATGGCTGTATTCTGCGTTACTGTCTTTAGGAAAACGAAAGGGTTGGTCATGGCTAGTCAGCATTTTAGGGATGACTGCCCCACAGATTTCTCTCAGTGGCAATGATGGAGTTTTTCATCTTAGCATGCCATACACTCCCCCAAAGGGCATCAAAAACTGCCAGAGTAGTTCTAGAGTCAGAATGGCAGGCATGGGTCAAAACCATGGCGTGTCCGTTTAACACGTGACGGTTTCCAGTCAGTAGTCCCCGTGGCTAAGAACAAAAAACACCTTCTCAAGGCCCACTCAAATGCCCTGCAGAGGGCACATGCTGCTTGTTTTCTGCCTACCATGGAGGGGGAATATTGACCCAGAACTCAAATCTATAGCCAGTTTAAACATTTTACCCATCAGCATGACTGCGGTCACAAAATACTTCTTCTTTCTGTCACTTCTCTTTCAGATTATTGATAAGATCATTTGGCTGAATCTGTTTGGGACCTGGGTATTATTGACTAGGAGTTAGAAAAGATGATCAGATGTAATAAGCCTAGAAACTACCTTTCAAATGGGCATATATACTTAAACCACTGTTCCAAGGAGGGTTTTAAATACATCAGCAAACTTGTAAACTAATGCAACACTGCTTGTATTTCTCACTAACCTTAAAACTGATTTTGGTTAAGTGTGATGTTCCCTCTAAGACTATCTGAAACAATGTTATTCACATCCCAATCTTGAGTCTCTTCCATACGTTCTTTTCTTTTATTTCCTGTTTCAGATCCTGTTTGCTTGCTTGATGAGAAATAGACACTACTATATAAACCATTGCAAATCCCATCTTTCTCTGTAAGCCTGAAAGGAAAAACATATAGCACCTACCTCTAATCACCTGGCAAACACACATAGTGCATATTGCCAGAAGCATTCTTTGTTGAAAGATATTTGTTAATCATGAAAAAGAATAACTCTCTTAACTAAGCCTTGTTTTTCTGTAGGTCCCAAATTATGTGAGGACATGTGGGTAAAGATCAAAGTTCACCTAGTTCCATGGATGCTCTCCAAAAAAGCACAATCAGATAAGGGTAAAGCTAACCTAGAAAGAAGATGCAGGGACACTGCAGATATATCAGGGGACAAATATCTCTTTGTCAGACCATGAAATGGAAACAAATTGAAGCTCAAACCCAGTGACCATTTCAATGAAATGCTATAGGCATAGTAACTGCAAGGTTTGGGACCAATAGTTTTTGCAAAGAAAAGTGAACCAGAAGAATAACTGCTCTTAAAAAAAAAAAAAAAAAGCTCCTGAAAGTTATAAACATGAAATCTGGCAGTATATGCATAAAATTTATTCCAAAACTTTATGAAGTATAAAGGAAGGGAAGTGTTTACACACAACTCAACTTAGTATAAGGTCTAGGGTTTTCCCCCCTTAAAACTTGGCACTATTTTTAAGATAAAATAAAGATATTTCAATAATTAGAACAAACTACGAAGGTATTGTGCATTTCTGTTTTATGTAGATAATAAAATATTACTTTAACATAAATATATAAGGATCTCTGCGTTTTTATTTTCCCCACAAGCACAACCAAATGTACCAAAACAAAGTATTTTTAAAGAGACTGAACAAAAAAAAATTACATCCCATATAGATTTTGCTTACCTACTCATTTAAAGCTACAGAAAAACAGTTTCCAGAACCTTTTTGCTTTAAAAGAAATAAATATACATTGAGGCAGGCCACTTAAAAATGATATGAAAATATTTCCCTGGGTAGCATTTAAAAAAAAGAAAATAGACAAAGAAACATTTAAACTATTTCTGCATTTCAAAAGACAGATATTAAACATATATACATAGCGGTAAGGTTCAGTGGTAACTTTCATCTTAGTAAACCTATGAGAGTTAAGAGGCTTCAGACACATCCCCTGAACTCCAGCTTCTGACCTTACCCACTTGGTAATAAGAATTTGAAAATTCATTTCCTCCCTTCACCATTGGCTCTCGGTCCTGCTCTGGATTGCTTCTCTAAAGGCCAGTTCCCACACCTCAGGAACAGGCAGCATGATGCACCCCCAAGGAGCCCCATGCCCATCTCCTTGAGACATTCACTGGGGGAAATGAAATACAGGCAAATAAATACGCCCATTTATAAGCCATCATTTATCTTGCAAAAACACTGAAAATGAAACAATCACAGGTGTTTGAAAAGACAATATAAAGCATAGTTCCTAAAACCTTAACTACTGATTGCAATGCTAATTTGATGCTGAACCATCATTTTCTGGTAGTGAGAATTTAATTTTTTTAAATAAAAATTTGTCTAAGACCTAACCAGAAAAAAAAAGCCCCAAACTTTTAAGATGAATACAAAGTATTTTCCCTTTTAGCGCCCTTTTGTGCTGATTATTATCTAATATTTTAACTGATCACAGTTTAATGGTATTTATTTTCAGTAAAGTTACAAGTTGTGTTTTTTTTTCCAACTAAAACTCCCCGGAAAAGCCTTTGGTAAAGGAAGCAAACCGTTTCCAACAAAAAAAAGGAAAAAAAAAAAAAACCCTGCACTTAAAACTGTTAACAAAGGGAGAGTAGGAAGGACTGAAAATAACATTGTTTCCCTATACTTCATTTGGCTTCTTTAGTAAAAGAGGGGGGAAAGCTGTCCAAGTCAAACTGGTATTTTCCGTAATAAATTACATATGAATAGGGTGTGGGACCTTATATATGATTTGATAAACAAATGAGCTAGTGAAGACAAAAGTCAGCCTAGAGTGGAGATATTCTCTGTAGGCATGTGGGTATTTTGTGTGCTAAGAATCATAGTCTATGCATACACCATTAAGTTCCCAGATTATTTTATGTTAAAAAAAAAAGCTATTAGAGGAACAAAGTTTAACTGCTGCTGTCAGCACAAATAATTCCTCATAATTAAGTTATTAAAACTGAAGGCAAAGAACTGAGCGGTGGTGTCTGAAGATATATATTTCCCTTGTTCCTTTCAAGGTGCCACTTTCCTTCTGTTGGACAACTCTGAAAATATATTTAACCTCGGCATTTCCTCTGAGCTCTTTCACAATGGGCCCCGCCTGATAAAATGAAGCAATCAGTCACTCACTATCGATTTCACTTTTTCTCCCCTCCACAACCTCCCCCAGAAACACTGCCTGAAAATGAAGTTTACTTTGTGGCTGGTCACCAAAACCAATGCTTCACTTTCATTTTTGTATTCCAAGCAGGATTCTTGCCTTGGATAAAGCGGGTAGACCATGCCTATTTCCTGAAAGCAGAGAATTGTTTATTTTGTATGAAGTTGATCGGGTTTGCTTTGGTAAAAGGAGCAAATAAACGTTATCCTAATGTAAGGAGATGGGCTCTGAAGGTAACCAAAGTTCACAAACAGTAAGAATAAGGAGGGGCAACACAAGAGCATTAGAAATGGAGAGTGGCCAAAAGCTGGCTTCAACTCTCTCCCAAGAATCAAACCAAACCCAACCCGGCAATTTCAAAATTAACGGTGGGAGAAGGAAAAAACATGCTCGTGAATTTGTTCATGTAAACTTCAATTTCCTTGCAGTGCAAATTTATGTGGTTAAGTTTTGCCTACATCAAAGAACGTGTGTATTTTTCCCTCTTTCCTGATGGGGATCCACATTGAATAAACACAGCAGCATGTGCCAACACCGAGCATCAGGAGCTGTGTTTTGTATTTACTACGGCTTGGTGGATTTTTTTTTTCTTTTTGGTAATTTATTTAGTTTTGCCAGGTATTTAACTCAGTGCTCGCCATCTCTCTCTCTCTCTCTCTCTCTCTCTCTCTCTCTCTCTCTCTCACACACACACACACACACACACACACAGCTCTGTGCTGGAAGTGAGTAACCCCTCTCTCTCTCTCTCTCTCTCTCACACACACACACACACACACACACACACACACTGCTCACTCTCTCTAGGAGACACTCCACTCCATTGCCTGGGTACTAGCCTGTAAAGGTCAAAACATATCATTACACCTGCTACCGTTTAAAGGATAGTCCAGTGCCTTAGTTGTTTTCCTTATTATTATTTTTTTCTTTTAAGGGACGGGGAAATAATAATTAAAAAGAAAATAACAATCAGAAGTTAGAGAGGGAACAAGGGGGTCGGGAAAGGGCCGCGGACCAAAGGGGAGGGGAGCCCCGCGCTCTGCCCTCCCCCTCCCGCTCGAGTTCACTGGACGGGTGTCTGCACCCCGTGGTGTGGTGGCGTGTCCCTACTCCCCCCGTACACATCCTCGGCGCCCGGCAGAGTCCCTCCGGGAGGGGTCATCCTTTTCTCTTTCTGTCTCCTGTTACAAAACCAAACTCTGACCACCTCCTTCTCCAGCTGTAAGCTGTCCGCGAGGGAGGTGATCTCCTGGGCCGAGGGCTTGGGGCATTTGAGGAAATGGCTCTCCAGAGCCCCCTTGACGCTCACCTCGATGGAGGTCCGCTTTTTCCTCTTGCGCCCCTGCGCTGCGATCTTGTCTATGCTCGTGGGGCTGCCCGAGGACGAGTCCGCCTCCTCCAACCACTTGTTCAACAAAGGCTTCAGCTTGCACATGTTCTTGAAGCTCAGCTGCAGGGCCTCAAACCTGCAGATGGTGGTCTGCGAGAACACGTTGCCGTAGAGGGTGCCCAGCGCCAGCCCCACGTCCGCTTGAGTAAATCCCAGTTTGATCCGCCGCTGCTTGAACTGCTTGGCGAACTGCTCCAGGTCATCCGAGGTCGGCGTGTCCTCATCCGAGTGCGGGTCGTGGTGCGCGCCCGGGTGGCCGGGCGGGCCCTGCGGGGGCGGCGGGGGCGGTGGCTGCTGGTGCGCGTGCGAGTGCGGGTGCGGATGGTGGTCCGCGTGGTGTGGTTCGTCGTGCGCGTCCCGCAGGCCGTGGTGGTGCAGCCCCGCCGGCTGCCCGCCGGCGCCCAGCATGCCGTTCACGGTGAAGCTGGGCTGCGAGTAGAGCAAACCGCCGTTGGACGCCCCCATGGAGGGCGGGAGGTGCGCCGCAGCCGCTGCGCTCCGCCATGCCCCGGGCCCCGGGTGGTGGTTGGCGGCGTGGTGCACCAGATGCGGTGGCCGCTGCTGCTGCTGCTGCTGCTGCTGCTGCTGCTGTTGCTGCTGCTGCTGCTGCTGCAGGGCGCCCGGCCCGTGCAGCTCGTCGCCTCGGCCGCCCTGCTGTACCACCACCGAGGGCTTGATGTCCGGCTGGCCCAGGGGGCTGGTGGACCAGGGGGACCGCCCCCGCCGCCGCCGCCGTGGGACAGCGCGGTGATCCACTGGTGAGCGTGGCTGAGCGGGTGCCCGTTGCTCTGCAGCGCGCCGTAGTCGCCCTGCACCAGGCTCTGCGCCTCGCGGTAGCCCCCCGCGCCCTGCTGCATGCCGCCCGGCGGCTCGGTGTGCACGATGGAGGCGCTGGAGGTGAGCAGGCTGTAGTGGTTAGACGCTGCGGTCGCCATGACTCTCGGAGCCGGACTGAGCGCTCCGGTTAAAGGAGCCGCGCATTTGACAGTTACTTTTTCGCCTCGGGCTCCTCTCCTCGCTCGCTTTCCGTCTCTCTCCTCTCTCTCTCTCCCCGCCAGCAGGCAGCTCCGACGCCCGCTCCGACGCCTTCTGTGGCTGCTCCTGCTATTACTGCCGCCGCCGCCGCCTCCCGCCCGCCCTCGCTCTCTTTCTCCTCCTCTCCCTCCTTGCTCTCGCTCACTCTCCGACTAGCTCAGCGCTCCCCCCTCTCCCGGCTCTCTCCTGCTCTCTCCCGCTCTCTTGGCAGCGCCGGCTCGCAGCGGCACGCGCCTGGGCCCCGCCCCCTCCACCCCCTCCCATTGGCTCCGCGCCCTTTGATTTACGTGGATACCGCTAGCAACCTCCCAGGCCGGCGCCACTGATTGGCGCAGAGATGCCCCCTCCTCCTAGCTTCTTGCTCCAGGGTGTGACACTTTCGCCTCCCCAAAGGTGCTTTTATTCGCCTCCACCCACCCCGCTAGCGCCAGATCTCTTTCTCTTAGGTTCCAGACCCGATGGTCTTCCAGCACCTCGGGGTGAGGACCCCATTAAAGGCAGGCTCCACAGGCGCCTCGGCTTGTAAGAGACTACTTGTTCAGGAGCAGAGGTGTTGCCTGTTCTGAACAGCGCAGGGTCTGGACTGAAAACAAAACAAAACTCTAAAAGTCTCTGACACATTCAAACACTGGGGGCGCGCACAGGTTTGGGTTTAGGGAAAACTAGGATCCTACTCGGATGGACCTTCATTTTGTGATGGGAGCGCTGTCAAGGGGGTGTTTGGCCTCTGTAAGGGGCAGGGAGGCACCAAGGGCGGTTTCGACTGCGTGAGCGCTTCTCCGTGTTCCTGGAGCTTTTGGATGCAACTTTTTCCGTTAGCTGCTTCGAAAGAGAGGAAGAGCGGGTGAAGGAAAATGGGCTGTACTAAGGGAATCTTCCGAATCCTAAACTTCGGCGGACGCCAGCGGGTGGGGTGGTCTAACTCAGCTGCCAGGCGCTCACTGGCGAAGCTGTCTGCTTAGCCCTCAGCAGAGCACTCCGGAGCGAGGCTGCGGGACCCTGCACCACCAGGACGGTTCTACCCAGCTCGAGCGCGTCGCGCCGTCAGCGCCGCAGCCACACGGAGCAGGTGCCTGCCGCCGCTTTCGGAGCCTGCTAGCGAAGATAGGAGGATCCGGCGCAGGCCCGTGCCGGAGCAGCGGAACCACCGCGCACGATCGAGGGTACCGCGCGAATACTGCAAAGCGAATCAGAAGTTGCTGCCCTGAAGTGGGGGAAAAACCCAACCAAAGGGAAAGTGAATTGCGTCCCCACCTCTCACCCTCCGCCCCTCCGTCGTCGCCCTTAGCGCTGGCGTTGCCGGCGATCGTGGGTTTGTGAGGGAAGCCAAATCTACGCTCAAGGGGAGCACTTTGGGGCCTCCGAGCATCTTAATCTAGACAGCAAAGTGGAACGGGCCAGAGAATTCATCATGACTAACGAGGAGCGGAGGTCTTTGGGGAGTGGCTGAGCTGTTTATAAATCACCGCGTTGAGCACTCGCCCGGGCAAGGCGCTTTGGCGGAGAATTTCCACGTGCCCTGTGTTTATGAGCGTGTGTGGGGGAGAGAGAGAGAAATGGTTAGGGGAGGGGCGAGCCCACAGGCCGCCAACCGAACGGACCTGCATCCCCCCACGCGCGCACCCGCGCGGCGAGGCGAGGACACACACCTTCTGGCGCTGGGCTCTCGCGCAAGCGCGGAGCCACTCTGGCGGCGCGCCTGGGGGCTGCTAGGAATCCCGTAACTTTGCCCCGCTAGGAAAAAATGAAAAAGTCCAAGCCTGGAAGCGCGCAGACTCGGCCGCTGGCGTCCGCGGCGGCTCGACCGAGAGTGAAGGGGCTGGGCGGAGGGCAGGACCGCCTCCCTCAGAGCAGCGCCTCCGTGTCCCCAGCGCTGGGCGCCTGGCTCTCTTGGGGCTTTGGAAGCGCACGGGCCACTCGCCAGCCGCGTCCTGGCCCAACCCGCCGTGCCTTTCACCACCCCAACCCCCCGGCAACCCCCCGGCCGCCGGCTGTCCTCCTCCCCAACCGCTCGGCTGGGAGAACTTGGAGCTCCCACAGATGGAAGGATCCAGCCGCCGGGAAGGGCCGCGTCCGGATGCTGAACATCTCGCCCCCTCCCCCTTCCGGGGCAGGTGTCTGCTTTTCTCTGGATTTGATTTCTCATTTCTCTAGGGACAAGGCCCTTTGCAGCCGGTGGGGGTGAAACACTCGAGGGAAGAAAAGCGTTTCCAATCTCCGAGGGAACCAAGGCGGCCAGACTCGGAGTCAGTTTAAAATCCACCCCCCTCTCCTTCTGCCTCCCTTCCCCCAGTTTCAGGCTTTGGGCGCTGGGGTTTCGGGGTGGGGGAGCAAGAATAGGCTGCGTGTGTACATCCAAACTTCCTGTCTGCAGTGGGACTTCACTGACGATGACTGCTCGGAGATTCATCCCGTGCTGACGTCCCAGGTCTCCACTCCACCCCCTCCCCCCACCTTCGCTTCATTTCGCTGGCAGGCAACGGAGCCGAAACATTCCCAACTGGGTAAGCCGGGTGGTTCTACTCGATTAATGCACCCAATAAATCCCCGGGAGTACACAAAGCACTGCCCTACCCTCGGCCTCAGCCTCCCACCCCACCCCCACCCCGCAGCCTGGCCAATCACCGGGCGGGCTGGGCTGGGCGCGCACACTGGCTCTGGGTACCACCTCCCCCGCGCCGCCCCCGCCTCTCCGCCTGCCGCCCGAGGCCCGGTTGGCGCGAACGCCGGGTCCCGAGTACCTCGGCTTCCAGTCTGCCTCCCGGCGAGGCCCCTTCCTGGGGCTCCAGGAACCTCAGAGGTTGTAGACCCCCGATGAGGGGCTTTGTGGTCCTCCCTTCCCTTCCTCCCACCGTCGTGGGCGCCTTTCTTTGCGACCGACATCGCCGGAGCAGAGTCCACGCGTCTCCCTGCCTTTCTCCACCCTCATAAAAGCACGTTGAAAGTGTCTCGGGGAGACACCTCCAGGTTTTGATTCAGCTCATTCCCTTTCACTGTTCAAAGCACTGTTCAAATACAGAGGCTGCTTACGTTGACGTGGAGAGGATTTCAAACAAACCTAAAATGCTTTGAACTGACAAGGTGTCTTGATATCTCCCTCACTCCAGTACAGTTCCCCGAGATCACTGGCTAGGACAATGGCTGAGGAAGCGGTTCACGCGGGCCTCACAGCCTCTTTGGCTGACTGCTGGGTCCCCCGGGCCCCCTTCACGAGAACAGGCTCCAGGCGTCCTGAGCAACCTCGCCAGCCCATCCCCGTCCTCTAGGTCCCAGCAAGGGCTCTGCTGAGTCGGTATCCTGACCTAGACTGGTCTGAGGAATTGGTGCGGACTTCGTACTGCACTGCTTGGAGAGAAAATAACTCAGAGAATCCGAGCTAAACCAAAAAGACATATTTATCCCCACATTGTCACACTTCTCAAAAGCGTGAGCCAGACCTGGGTCTTAGTAGTGCCCAGAACCTTGACCAAAGTCTCCCAAAGTCTTCACATGAGTAACAGTAATGATATCAACCTGTACACTCTAATATGAACTCAATTTTAACTTCATCTAGTAAACACACACCGTATGTAAAATATCATTTATTGTATTTCTCCATACCAGGTCTTGGCAGAAAAACCACCAGAATCACTCCTAAACATTGAGCTGAAAGGATGCAGTTATTAAAATAGAGGTGAGATGGTATTTATTCATTTGATAGATCTTAATTTACTTCTTATTGATGTTACAATAGTTCCATGATAATGGAAATCAGGAAACAAAGGGAATTTTCTTCCAAGGTGGCAGCTGGTTTAAACTTGGGTAAAATTGCCTACTGGGATTTCCTTTTTAATATATCCACCTTGGAGGAGGATTTCAAGTCCCTTCTCTCTCTCTCTCTTTTCTCCCTTATCCCAGTCATTTTTTCCTGTACTTTCTGCTCTTCTGTTAGTCTCCAGGAGCTGTTTGAGAGCTTCCCCATATTTAAATGGAACTTCTTTGCTAAGGGCCTACAGAATGTCAAAACTGAGGTTCCCACTTCAGAGCTTCAGCTTTAAACAGCCAATCCACACAAAGAGGCAGCTGGCTCCTTTAATGAAAACCTCCTTAGAGCTTGAAGACTTACTGGCTTAGAAATGCATTTGTAAGAAGCAAGGAAAATGCATTTCCAAGCTGCCAGTTCTTGTGAGACACAATAAACATTTACTTTAAAAAAGAACAGACATTAATATCTTTAATTATGCAGCACAATGCCTCCCTAATGAAAAAAATTCCACATAGATTTATAGGTTATTGTCTATATATACATTTTACAAGTTTCTAAATGTGCATCCGTCTCCATATCATAAACGGTTTTGAAGAAGGAAAAGTTTTCTGAAAGTTGAAACTCCCATTCTTCATATTCTTGACAAATATGTGTTTGTCCATGTCTCACATACAGATGATTCTATTTTGTCTTTACTACTGTGTAAACCAGTAAGATGTAATGTTCTAAGTTCAGTATTTTAAAATGAAATTATTTGAATTTGTGGATATTAATCTGTTTCTCCTTTTCTTCAAGTTCTGAATCTCATCATTAAAAGTGACCCCCCCTTTGTAGTCCACAAGTGAATATTTTATAGACAGGCACGGCTTGAAGACTTCTAAAACCATATCACCCAGGCAGTCTAGCTATTTCAAGGATTACTTTGAGTAATTTATCAAAGGAAGTCTGCTAAATTTTGAGTGGTGAATATGAGGCCTTACAGGGGAGAAAGCATAAAGAACACATTCCATCAGTGTACAAGGCAAATTCTATTTGGCATTAATACAGCTTGTTTATACTGAAATAGCAGGAACACAACATGAGGGGATTGGTGGCTCCTAGTTTCCTTTCTGAAATTTCCTTTTCAAAGGACTAACATTCAGTGACTTCCTAACAATGAAACCTGAAGGTGTTTCCCACCCTTATCCCTTGCCCTAAAAAAGCAGGAGAAAATGACAACTTTTTAATAAATTAATTTCAACAGAAACCTCCTTTGCTTCAAAGCTTATGGAGATGTACTGAGATGAAGTTCTTGCCACAGTCCTTTCTCTT